CTATAATTATTGTAATAGCAGAAATTAATATTCTGTGCTGTGCGAAAATTGAGAGCTCTCGGGTATTTCGCTGCGGCGTTTCTGCTTCTTGTGATTCCTTTGAATCGTTACTTTATTTAAGCCGCTTGTTAGATGAGATTGAAGAGAAAGAACGCAAAAGCCGTACCAAAAAAAAAAATTTTTTTTTAGCTTTTCGAACTCTGTTGAAATGTCAACATTCTCACCAATAATGAAACATAATTAACGATTGTGTAATAAATGAACAGTCCAATAGGACGATAGTTCTTCTTCTCCATATGATTTTTTCTTATTATTATTATTATTCAGGCATTAAAACCCTTTAAAGAGTATACCATCTTACCTCCTCGTTTCGCTTTCCTATCTTACAAGTTTTCTGCACTAACGGGTTCACGTGTTTTTTTATACCCGTTACTCATAGAGTAAAATGGTATACTAGATTCGTTGAAAAGTATATAACAGATAGAAGGAAGCGTTTGCGACCCTATAAAGTGTATATATTCTTGATCAGGATCAATAGCGAAGTCGATTGAGCCATGTCCATCTGTCCGTCCGTCCGTCCGTCCGTCCGTCCGTATGAACGCTGAAATCTCAGGAACTATAACAGATACAAAGTTGAGATTAAGGATGAAGATTTTTGAGGTACCGGGACAGCGCAAGTTTATTACAACATCCTGCCACGCCCACTCTAACGCCCACAAATCACGGAAAGCTAAAATCGCTGAAATCTCGCGAACTATTAGAGCTAGAAAGTCGAACTTCAGTATCTGGTACTATTATCCGGCAATACCCACTCATACGCCCACCAAGCTCAAAAGACGGTTTTCGCATTTTCAAGAAAGCCTGATATCTCGGTAACTATAAATGGTAGAACGTTCGAACTAAGCATGGTGGCGTCTATAATAATATTATGAATATCTTCGTTTGAACTTGTATTATGTAACTTATTTCTGTTAATATCTATCCATTCAGGAAAGATTTTCAAATCGGAACATTATTTCGCTATTTATGAAGAAAATAAGGTTATAAGGCATCACATGAGCAGTGACGTCACAATCAGTTGCCCAACATGCTTTATCCGACAATATGTGGCGCTTGGGGAATTTCTACTAGCAAAATGAATATTTTAAAATTGTGTAAAACAGTAACGGGTATCTTATAGTCGCGGCACTCGACTTTAGCGTTTTCTCTTGTTTAAATATAATTTAACGAGATTTGTACTTTGATAAGCGTGGGCAATAACTCTGCACAGGAGTTACAAGGAATACAATTCTTAAACTTATTTTCAAACTCCTCTAGCTACTAGGTCATGAAGTTATCTTTGTTATCTTTGTGAACCTTGTTTAAATAAACTTGAAAACGTCGATTAGAATTCCAGGCGAGATGGTACCATTAGATATTCAAACTTAATCGATTCACACATAACAGAAAAAATCAACATAACAAATACTATTGGATAGTTTGTTATAGTAAAAGCAACTCTTATCCACTCTGAACTACATACATATGTACATATAAGGATTTCATAATTCGGAACTTTTGAAAGTACATGAAAACCCCGTTGGTCAAATCTAGGTGTCTCTTTTGTAATCAGACCACTTTAAGCCTAAAGCTTTATTGTTTCATTCTTTCCTCCAATTTCAGCTACATAAAAGGTTTGTAGTACTAAAATGAATCTCACGGGAAATATGTATTTATTTTTCATGAGCCACAAACTTCTCATTGAGTGTGCGTAACAATGTGTGAGGGTATAACCAATGTGAGAAAGTGTACCAATTGTACGAAGAACCCTTAGGTTACCGTTGTTTCTGCCAGCAAACCGTTTTGCAGTTGCAAAACCCGCTCTCTCGTTAAATAAGGTGGATAAAAGTTTATGGTTTTCGTAATACCACCTACCGTCAACTCCTAACAAAAAAGATTCATTTTTCCCCATTATTATACCATGGACCTTAATCTACGTTAATACTATTAAGATACACGTTATTATTTTACACAATTTTAAAATATTAATTTTGCTAGTAGAAATTCACACCTGGCGTCACCTATTGTCAAAGAAAACATATTGAGTAACTGATAATGACTTCTCTGCCCATGTTAGGCCTTATAACTTAAATTTCTTCATGTTCCGATTTAAAAAATCTTTGGCAAATCGAACGAAGATATTAACAGAAATAAGTTATACAAGGTCAAACGAAGGCAGCGTGGCCGGATGAAAATTCGTGACATGTTGTAGTGGCATCACTTAAATACGTGTTTATAAGCCTAACTTTCTAGCTCTTATAGGTCCCAAGATCTTTAGCATTTTTGGTTTTCGCGTTTTGTGGGCGTTAGGGTGGGTTAGATGGGAAAAAATTTATTTGCATTTGCACCATCATAAAAACCTACATGCTTAATCCGAACTTTCTATCTCTTATAGTTAAGATTTTCTAGAAAATGCGAAAATAGTCTTTTAATCTTTTGGGGAGTATGTGTGGTGTGGCCGGATAATAGTACCACTAAAATGCGCTGGCATCTAAATATTACACATACTGAATTTTAACTTTCTAGCTCTAATAGTTCGTGAGATTTCAGCGATTTTAGTTTCTAGCGTTTTAGCGCTGCGTGTTTAATCTCAACTTTGTATCTCTTATAGTTCCTGAGATCTCAGCGTTCATACGGACAGACGGACGGACATGGCTCAATCGTCTTCGCTATTCATCCTGATCAAGAACATATATACTTTATAGGGTCTGAAACGCTTCCTTCTACCTGTTACATACTTTTCATCGAATCTAATATACCCTTTTACTCTACGAGTAATAGGTATAATAAAGTTCAAAATTATACTCAGATTGCACAACTAATAAAAAAGTTGAAGTATAATTAGATGCTTCTTTTTACAAAACCTGCTTGGCTAAAAATTAAACGTTGTTAACCAATTTAATTTAACTAATAATTTTGCTGGTAGTTTTTAATTAAGGCTGAGGAGACTGTCCATGTGAGATCCTAAAGCTGCCAGATGATGAAACAAAATAAAGCTGGACTTTAGAAAATAAACCCTTTAGCATAACTTTCTAGTTCGAATGATTTCTTGTATTATTTTCTTACACGACTTGTGGGTGGGACGGGTTGCTAAAACAAACTTGCTCTGCTAAGCTATATATAAAATCTTCATGCTTAACCTGTATATGTTATGATTACCGAGATCGCAACGATTATATGAAGAGACGGACGAGGTTAAATTTCAATTTTTGTCCTGATAAAAAATATATATATCAACGAGTGCATTATACATTTCTACTCTTCGAGTAATTTTTATTAAGACCTCGGCAGACCATAAAATATTTCACATAGGCATGAATATAGGTAAAAAGTAATATTCATATTTCAGAATTTTCCAAAGAAGAAAACTACTATATATAGTTATATATATATAATGATAAATAAGCACAGTACCAACATACTGTGTGTTTTTTAGTTTTCTAGTTTAGTTTAGTTTTTCTACTAGCTTTACTGGCTCAAATTACAATTTTTTTCTACTTATAAAAATTAAATATTGAAAATTAGTTACATATGTATTTACTCCTGGTTAAGTTAAATAGAAATCATATAAGTATTTCCAGTTCATAAAGTTAATGTATTGTTTTATAAAAAAAAATTTGTATATTGTATCATTAGCTGACACCACAATTATTTTGAAATTGGTTATAATGATATCAGACATATAATAGTCGCAACAATAAATCCTTGTTCTTGCTAATATTTATTTGTGGGCACAAAATATGTTTTTTTTTATAATAAATAACTGAGTTAGATATAAAAAAGAATTCAAATCTCATATATTTTAAAACCATCCAACCATTTTTGCTAAAACAAAACATGTTTTTTTACACAAGTAGCCCATTTATCGGTTAGTGTTAAAATAATATTTTATAATAAAGTTATATTATAATTCCCAACATATGTACATTTCTTTAGAACCAGGTAATGATAATAGTTGTAAAAAAATTAAATGGCTCTCCAACAACAAATGATTAAATATTTAAAATGAATATACTATACCATATACCATCTTTCAACTTTATCTGGCAATGATTTTAATATGAGGTCATTTTTAAAAATCAAATTTTTTACATTTTAACAAAAAAAAGAACAAAATTTTAGCCTGCAAACAATTTCTTTCCATATAGCGCAGCATTTTTTAACTTTTACATAAATATTATATAAAATATAAAAAATTTAAGTTTCGTTAATACGCAAACTAGGAACATCATTAAAACTGTTGATAATTTCTAACGTTTTCATTAACAAAGATAATAATTTGTTCATGTAAATACTTTTTTTAATTTTTTTTTTAAATCGTTTATATATGAGGTAAACAAACCATAAAAAACATTGAATTTAAACTAAAAAAGTTTTCAAAGGTTAAATTTTGTTTATACATAAGTCCTAAGCTAAAAAACAGTTATCTTCCTCTTAAATAATGTTATCAAAATGAAAATAAATATTTTTTGAGTGTTAAATTGTGTGAAAATATAAGCTAAGCTGGAATTTACCTTGCTGGCGCGACATTAAGCGGCATTCAAAGGAATCTGCTGCCTTTCTGAAATGTTTGCATCAGGGGTTGGAATTCCAAAGTCATTCCTATTGGTTGTCTCACTGTTTCGCCTTAAAATTTTATCACGTACCTAAATATTCGTCGACAATAAAAGATATAGCCGTCTCTTTCTGTCTCATTTAAATTCTCCTCTAAATAGGGAGCGAATGAAACGAAACCAACATCGTGAATCAGTGACGAAAACGAGCAGAAAAGACCTAACGGAGAGCTTGCTTTCGGATCAGCCCTCTTTATTTCCGGAGCTCGCATTGGCTGGCTAAAGAAAAGTGAATAGGCAATATTTTATGTTTGTTTTGTTGAACTAAGTATGTAGCCAGTACCAAACACAGCACAAAGTCATCGTTAATAGGAAAAACTTATTCGAGGGCTATCCAGAAGCCATCTGAGGAGTACTCGTCAGTACTGTTCAGACCTCTTATTTCATTTGACGGAATCGTGTCGAGTGGATATTCATAATAAATTCACTGACGTGGGCTTACACTTATGTGTTGAAATTTACATACATACTTATATTGTGCAAAAGAAACAAGAAACAGATGTAACATATTCTAAGTGAATTTGAAATAAATATTTTGTCTTTAATGGACCTTAAATCATTTGATGTTAAATACTATACATTCTGCAATTTAATAACCCTTTGCATATTTGTTTGTATATTTGTTATACAAAATTAAGTGAGTGAAATTTAATGTACTATCAACATTAAGTTAGTTTGTGGTGTTTTTAAATTTAAAATGCAAATCTGAATATTTTAAACTCTACTAATGATTTTTACAATAACAATTTTCATAATTAGAAAATGTTACACTTTTAAGATCTATTTAACTCGCATCATTTCTATGATAAAGATTATAAATTAAAAGTATCTTACACAAGAAAAAAGGTTTTACAGTATTGAATTGGGTAAACAGTAAATTACAAACATATTGAGGCCCTTTATTACATTATGTACACATTAAAGTTTATCATTTATTAGTTTTCGCATTAAGGCCTTTATAATGTATTTATTATTATATACTTGTCATTCTATACTATTTTATTAATAGCTTAAAATATACCCAACATTTTGAAATATGTTCACAATAGCCCTAAGAGAACTGCCGGAAACGTCGGTTTTTTTTAAAGAATTGTTTTCGACTTTTTTTTTTCATTAATAAAAAATATGAATTATTTCTATTATTTCCCTAAGCAAATTTTTGTGTTTCGTAATCAATTGAAAACAAATGTAAAATAAAATTTAAAAAAAATATAAAAGGAATAACAAATAATTGTCTCAGTGCAATTTTTTAACTTTTAAAACTTAGTTTACTTGATATTTATTGTTGTTGTATTAGGTATACATAACTAGTTGATTCTACATATATATAAACCTCTGTTTCTACAATAAAGACATAAAGTTATACATCTCTGCATGCAAATTAAATTATAATCGTACTGTGTCTATTATAAACTGTATGCGTTAAAATTTATAAAGCAAGTAAAATGACAAGTTTTGGATATTTTAAAGTGAATTTTATATTAGAATAACATTGCTAGACGATATGTTCATTTCCGGTTGCCAACCGTTCTCATGACAGCCAAGCGTTTGGGCTTATCACCACTGCTCAAGTTTATTTTAAAAGTTTGTTAGATTACATTCATTTTCCCAATTTGCACTTAAGTGTTACTCGTACGAAAACATAGTAAATTGCATCTGTTAAAATAATAAATAATTATATACATTTTTAAATATAAGATTCTTGATCACAATGCAAGTCGATATCGGCCGCTGAGATCTGCGGAAATTTAGGGACTTCGCAACACAGCGTAAGTTTATTTAATAAAATAATTAAATTACACAAGTCTACATATTTATTAAGACAAAAAAAAAAATAGTTAATTTCAGTTCATTCAGTTTAAAGGGTTTATAAAATGATCTTTGTTCCATTTATAAATAAATAAATAGTAATATAAACTTGTAGAAACATACATTTTGTAATAGTTTCGGCATTGGCAGAAGAATTTTTTTTATTTTTAAAGAGACCAAACTCTTTTAAAACTTTGCTTTAACTTTTTATTTAAGCCTTTATCCTTTTGCAAATATCGACCCAGCGTTAAGAAGCATTCTTTTATCTTTTGTATAGGGTATATACTTCGCCAACTGCTGCATTTATTTCCTAAATTCTGAAAAAACCTTTAACAATTATATTTTTAAGTTCACCTACAAAACTAAATCAAGTGGATAAGGTTGGTTCTTTTAGTCTCAAGACCTCAGCGTTTTTGCATTTCTTGGGCGTATGCATCTTCAGAATCTGCTTTCATACAGACAAGCTACTGATTGAGAATATTTATACTTAAAAGAGTCGGCAACAGTTCATTCTTTCTGTTAAATAATTTTTAATTTAACCTAATGTCGTTTTAATCCACGGATACGGGTGTGTATATTGCTACAACAATAATTTTGTACACTCTTCAACAATTTAAGCATAAAGAAACGCTATATTTAAGTGTCGCCACAGCTATCAGAAGTTAAAGTAAATAATTTTATTGGCCAGAAGCCCATGTGAGGACTCATGTGGGCGTGACTGGCCGCTGAAGTCTTACGTTGCATTGTTTATCTCAATTGTGTATCTCTAATAGTTATTAAGATCTCAGCGTTAATTCGAACAGATGGACGTACAGACGAACTGGGCTAAATCGACTCGGCCATTTATACTTATCAGGATTATACATTGTAGGGTCGATAACACTCCCTTCTAACTGTTACCTTCTTTTCAATGAATATAACATACCCTTTTAATCTGCGAGTGACGGGTATAAAAAATTAATAATAATAAATATTTAGATGTATGTTAAAAAACACATTATCTTTATATAAGTTAATTGAGATGTAATGCACTCTTAGTAATAAGTTTCTTATTCTGTGGTGATGATTCGCCAACTAGTACCCTAAGTTTACCCTTAATGTTTTGATATGAAAAAGTTGAAGAAGAAGAAGAAGCTGAAGCTGAAGAAATATTATGTTTATATATTATCAACGGTAAAGTTTTTGGAAAACCCAAGAAAATTTAACAAGCTAAAAAAAAATTCAAGATGGTTTCATTATATGGTTAAGGCCACAATACATGAGAAAGTGATAACGCTAAGATCGCGTGAGCGGTTATCATGCATATTCTAAAGATGACAAAATTACTACCTTAAAATGGTTAACCTTCCATTCGACTATATATATATATATTAAAATACTTTTCATTATTGAACTCAGAGCATAAATGAAAAAGTTTAATTTTCTGTTGATTTTAGCTTTAATTTCTATCTATGGACTTGAAATGGTTTGTTCGTAAACACGCGGAGCTGCTACTTAAAATACATAATAAAGATCAACATTTTATAACGGCATTAAATTAGGCCTTGGTTATGAGTTTATCTTCAAGGGATTTATTGATACCAACCGCAATTTCCCAGCATCATCAAGTGGATACTTCTAGAAAATTAAACACGAACGAATCATCGGTACAAAACACCGTATCTACAGCAGCCGCCACAGCGGTTGCACATCACCACCACAATCTTTCAAATATTCACCACCTTCAAAATCTGCATAGTCAACATCAAAGTACTTTATTTAATAGTAATCACTCAACACCGTTCAGCGTGACCGATATCTTAAGTCCAATTGAAGAATCGTATCGCAAACTGGAACTGAACGGAAACCCCCCCTCTCCTTTTCGGTAAGTAAATAAATAATATCATATTTTAATTTAATAAAACTGGACTAAAAGCTTAACATTTGTGGCGAAATATCTATGGTATTTTTTGGACAAAAGAATCTTTTGTTTCTTTCTAAACTAGAATAGTCTTAAAACATATATATATAAATATATATCTTATATATTTTTTATATATTTATATATATATGATATATAAACTTGGTAAGATATATCATATATTTTTTTATATATATTTATATATAAAGTTTTTAAAACAATAGAGGAGATATTTCTCACATATCTGGGTGCTTAATTATTAACCATTTATGATAAATATTCAAAAGTTAAAAAATATACATATTATATAAATTCTTGATCAAAATTGAATTTTTTTATCAAGCTTATTAGTTAAAAAATCAACAAATTCTAAAGTAACTCATTCTACTCAATAATTATCTTTCGTACGAACTACATAAATCATGGATAATCCAGACGTACCTGTGCATTGTACGTTTATTTTAAAACTTGGTGTAAATTTTTCCAAAACCTGAAATCTGTGGCATTCATGAATAAAATTTTATAAAAACATAAGAATGAAGAATAAAAAAAAATTGTAATTTTAGAAAGGTTCTTAAAACACAGAAGATGACGTCGGCTTTCAAACAAAAAACAAATGAATTAAAAAAAACGTTACCAGCCCAAAAAAGTTTTCTTTTTCTAAACATTTTACTTAACATTCAACCTATTTTCTAAACTAATTAATTTGTGTAGACTTTTCTTTCGATTGGTAATAACTTGGTGTAACTTAACCAGAGCTTCTGAACAGATTTTTATTCTTTGGCTTTTACGAGTATATTAATAGTCACATTGGCACTCTTACCTGGTGGAATTCATATCATTTAAATATCTAAAGGATGAATATCCCCGTTAAACCCGTAGAAATGTACAGCGTTAAACAGTATGTAACAAGCAGAAATAAGCGTTTTAAATATATTGATATAATATATTGATTTAGCCATGACCGTCTATAATTTTCTCATAATGTTTTCCTACTTATAAATCAACAGAGTGACAAATAGTCGCGGCACTTTACATGAATTCATGTGTATGTTTTGTTATATTTTAAATGGTATCTAAAAAGTCAATTCATACTTTTATGTGAACACGCATTGTTTTTACTAATTAAATATATTTTTTAAAAAATATTTTTAAAAATTGAAGTATTGAAGTCATTAAGCTTATATCCAATTTATCTGTAAGGGTTCACATATTCCACTTACCGAATCTATCTTCCTTAAATATGTAATACTATAACGGCAAAATTTTTATAGCGCTGTTTTTCTTTAGGCGCTAGCGAGTTTTTTTAAGATATAGGTTCCACGTAAGAGTATTTAACAGTATCCAGTTAATGGATAATATCGAATAAGTATTCGATAAATAATTTATAAGTATAACATTCCAGATCCAACTCCAGTGGAAGCAGCATTAATTCCCCTGGAGCTTTAAATACATCAACTATGGCCAATCCCTATACTATGGGATCTTTATATCATAGCCCAGGTGTTCAAAGTTACTGCGGACCTACCGATAACCTATCTCTTGCTGGTCATTACACTGATATGAGAAGCTCTGCATCGTGGTATGGATCAACCGCGAATGATCCAAGATTTGCAAGTAAGCTAAAAGCAAATTCCATTGGTTTACTTAAAAACAATTATATTCTTGTTATTCATTGAATCATTAGATCGGTTAAGAATCATATTATAAAAACATCACTTTGACCAAACTAACCTACTTATTACCTTATTTATTTTTTATTTTTTGTTTGTTTGTTATGACCTCAAGTTAAAACTGTTCTAACTCAATAATACAGGAACAACTAAACTAATAACTAAAATATACAACTTTCTAAATGATTTTGAATTGTAAATTTCACTTGTCCTTGAAACACATTCACAATACCGCAAGCCTTTGCAAATTAAAAGGAACGTTTTAGTCAAGTGCTTCAACTACCCAATTATCAATTTAATGTAAACTAACGATGACTATACCAGAACCATTCAGAATTTCATTTATATACGAGTATATAAATTTTAAATAATAAAATCATTTAAAAATGTTTACTAAGTTTTGGAAAAGAAATATAGATAAAATAAAAGATTCCGACTTTTTGATTAGTCGATTAGGCCGTCTGTGCTAAAACCGATAGCTTAAAAGCTATCGATTTAAAGCGGTTCAAAAATAGACACGAATTATTACAATATTGTCCAGTATGAAAGCTAATTGCGCTTTTTATGTTTACTCCACTGCCGATCCATTATATTGGGAACAATTAGGTAAACAAGAGAAATGCTTCTGTAAAATTAATGCTTAAAATGTGCAGATGGACAAAAACTTCGTTTAATTGGCGTTTATAATAGCTTTCAGATACCTGCAAAAACGAATTTTAAAGGTACAAACGTCACATAATAAATGTAAACGCTATTACGATGTGTTAAAAATTTCCTCTTATAACTGTTAGAGAATGGGAGGGTTGTACACTTTAAATTCAGGTAAGAATTTAAAGAAAATAAATGATTTTGAATTTAGTTGTCATTGTTTACTTTAGAAATGGAAAGATGAATGTTGATTTTTGAGTTTATGACCCTACGGCATTAGGTTTTTGTTTTTATTGGAATATAAATGTATATAGAAGTGCTCACATAAATATATACATACCAGGTAAAAAGGCGTTTCATTTTGTATGCTTTTTTCAGACTAACGCTTAGGCTTACAGATTTAATCTTATTTATTAAGAAGTTTTCATAGAAATTTTACAGATGTTGCAAGGTAGCCATGCACTTACTAACGTCAGAAAAACACATCTGCCCACGAAAAGTGTTTCGAAAAAATTTGTATTAATGTTTTTTAGTTAACAACGATCAATTTATACGCTGAAGAAGTCGAAAACTGCAAAATAACGCTGTAACGATACATTCAATTCTGAAGAATATTGAATATTATGTCACTTATCAATAGCAGCATCATTGTCTACCTATTATTCCACCTTACCAACATTTCTTCTGTTGGAGTTCCTCTGCTAAATAAAAATTGTTCAGTTTCATTACATTTTTTAACGGTGGCTATTCTTAGGCAGTACCTTCTTCCCCAAACTCGTAACAAAAAGCTTTCATTCATATTCTGTTTCGTTCAACTATTATGTAAGTTATTATTGGGGTAGGTATCTCCATGTGTTTGCTTAATGTTGATCTTGGAAATATACGAGTATATATGTATGTACGTTTGACCATTTTTTTTAATCCAAAATATAGTATATTTCTAGTACTAGCAGCTGTTCTAGTACTAGCAGCTGTTTTTGAAAAAATTGATCTTTTGATCGAAAACCGCTTTCGCGATCGCTTGTCGTCATACAATACAAGATATATATATATCAAAATTATAAATACTTCTCTAAAATATGTTACAAGAAGAAAGAAATGTTTCCTATCCAATTTTTGATAAATTCCGAGATTTCGAGAATTAAATGTGAAAAAGTTGACCAAAGCAGGTAAAGGTTCTTTTATAAGCAAGCCACGTACCTTTTAAAGCCAACAATCTATTTATCCCAGGAACAATAAATCCTATAAAGCTATATAATAATGTGCATATTCTTGGAATATTTAAATATAAAGCCTTACATGAGCCTTTGTGCCAAGAAATTGTAATTCTAAAGCTGGTTACAACAGTACTAGTTATATTGCATAGTAATATTTTTAAGTTCAAATAAGATTTGTATTAATAAGTGTGATAATAAATAACAAAATCAATATTCCAGTATCTAGGCTAATGAGTTCGTCAGCCAGCGGGACAATGAGCCATATGGGGAATATGTCTGGACTAGCAGCTTGCAGCGTAAGCGATACAAAACCGCTACAGTTTCCATTAACACAAAGAAGAAAACGGAGAGTTTTGTTTACGCAAGCCCAGGTTAGTATTTCACATCTTTAATAAGTTAAAATTAACAAAGCCTATAAAAAAGAGAAAAAAGAGAATTAATAAGAGGGAGGTTTGAGTAATTCGAATAAAAAACCATGTTTCCAAATGAAAGTTTTTTCACTTTGGTTTTCCATATGTACACCCATATATTGATTTGAATAATTTTTAGTAGGGGCAGTTAAATAAATGCGAACTAGTTTTTTATAGATTACACCACTAATACGTTTTCATACTATTTTTGTAGCTTTTATATGTTTGAATAGATTTCTCTATGTATCCAAACGTTTCTGTATGATCAAAGCTATACGTAAATGTAAGATATCAGTCGTGGTTGTTAACAACCTTTTGTTTTTTCAATAAGAATTTATAAGAAATAATTTCTTACAACTATCCAATATTGGTATACAGCTAGAATTATAATTAAGTAATATGCATGTACATATGTATATGTACATATGTATATATAAAACCAAAATGTCATCACGAATTGCTTTCTTACTTCATTTTAGGATTATAATAGTCATAAAGTGCTTAGCTATACCAAATTTTTAAGAGGCGCTTTAAAATAGTCAGAAAATGGGCAATTGTCATTTTTAAGTACACAATATACATATGTATACATACAGTGATTTTTTGCGTAGAAAAATGTCTTTCTTATACTCACAGGTGTACGAATAAATTGTGCACTGTATGTATATGTATGCCTGGAAAATATTACAATGACACTGTGAATTTTCAAAATTCCGATGATTTCAGCATTTTTAAATTCCAATTAGGCTTTTTAGTATACATCGAATATCTAATTAATAATAATCTTCACGACAGTTAGGTGGTGCAAGAAAAATGGCCACACTTTGCCTTCTTAATCCGTTTAAATGAATAAGCTACTATTTTAAACAAGGAATAAAATTCACAATTCCGTAACAATTAATTCAAAAAATTATAAACACGTACATATATATAATTATCTTGTTTGCTGACTTCAAGTCTTATTTTCTTCTAAAATAGACTTAGGCTATTATTCTTTTATCGTAAAACAATAATTAAAATAAAATCAAAAGCTTTGTTTACAAAACTAGTCTCCTAGGCTTTGCTTCTTCTTAGGATAAAAATTATTATCCTAATATTTAGAAATACAAAACAAGTTTTATATTATATATTAATTTTTAAGTTGCAACAGGTAGAAAGAAGCACCTACGAACCTATAAAATGAATGTGAACAGTCATTTTACGGTACCGTTGCGAGCCAGTTTTTAAGGGGTGAATTTATACATACACACTTATGTATGTAAATAAGTATGAAGCACAACTCACCAAACGGTAGTAATAAACATACTGCATGGCAAGCAAACACTTGCACATGGTAAATAAAGCTCTCATATAACATTTGTATTTATTTAAGCCTTCAAGTCTTCAAGTGTACAGTAAATATAAAATACATTTCTCATAATAACCTTTCCAATATTTTTAATGGAGTTTACTCTTCATTTCTCTGAAGAAAAAAATAAATAATAAATAAATCAATGCACCACATACAAGGAATTCTATAGGGAGAACAATACTAAGTTTATTAAATGTTAAATCGTAGTCAATTTAATTCATTGATTAAAAAACCGAAGCAGTTCATTTTAACCAGCTATGAATGTTGGTTTATAAATCAAGATAGATACATACATACATACATATGTACATAGGTAAGCACGAAGGCAAGGAGAACCTTACATAAAATCTACAGTATGCCAAAAAATTTTTTACTTTGCGTTCAAAAAACCTCACTTTATATTCAATGTTCATTTTTTTTAATAAATATATAGCTATCATATAGAATGTGATTAATTAATAAGAGCTTGCACAAGTTTGACGCTCTTTACGCACTGTCTTTTTTCCTTGACTTGTCAAATTTTTATAAGCTTAAGTTTATATTTTTTATTTCCTCCCATTGCTAAGTTTTATTTATTTTTTGCACTTATAAATTAAGCACATTTTATATAATTGCTGCATATTTAAAAAAAAAAATTACATTAAATATAAAGTATTGTTTGAATGCATAGTAAAAAAATGCACTGAACAGTTTTTTGACATACTGTACATTTGTACATACTTGCATATGTATATACCAACAGTGGCTCGCAGCTTATTTCGTACAGTTACCTAAAAAGAGTTTGAGTAGATATTCCGGCTAAACTAAAAAGATAGCAAAAAAATTTGAACGCAGTTCTTTAACTGGGAATATTAACATGTTTATTAAACTAAAACAATTTTCTTAATCATAAAAATAAAAAATTTAATAACAACAACATTTTCAGGCATTTTCCATGCATATTTGGTGCAGCATTTCGTGCTAATATTTTGAATGTCCTCTTTTCTGGTTCAAGACAGCTTTGAGATGATTTCCCATGGATGTGATTTAGTGATTTCCAATGGAATTTTCGTCATTCTTCCATAAGAACCGTTTGCCGATCGTTTTCGTTCGAAATATTTCTCTTCCTTACAGCGATGCCCAATATTTTTCTGGCGTTATAACGACATGAGGTCATTTTCAGATAAGTCAGGACTTCAAATTTCCTGCTGAATGCTTCGTATCGTGTTCCTGGTAAAATCTTTTTAGTTTAGCAGGAATAAGGACTTAAACTTTTTTTAGGTAACTGCACGAAATAAGCTGCGAGCCACTGTATGTACCTTAATATGAATCTTTGTAGTACTAATAAATGATAAAACGTTAAATTAAAGTATATATAATACCCTTTTCAGTGATATAGAAATTCAATTTTTTAGTTATTTGATATTTCAAAAAAGTATCGTCATTATTTTTATTTATGCATGTATGTATCTAACGTATAACTTAATTATTTATTTTAGGTATATGAACTTGAAAGGAGGTTTAAGCAACAGAGGTATCTTTCCGCTCCGGAACGCGAACATTTGGCTAGTCTAATTCATTTAACCCCAACACAGGTAAGTTAGCCCTATTTTTTACATTTGTGCATACATATGTACATACATATGTATGTTCAGTCATATATAGCGAAGTCAATTGAGCCATGTCCGTCTATCCGTCCGTCCGTATGTCCGTCCGTATGAACGCTGAGATCTCAGGATAAGAGATACAAAGTTGAGATTAGGCATGAGGATTCTTGAGGTCCCTTCGCAGCGGACAAATCACGAAAAACTAAAGTCGCTGAAATCTTAGGAACTATTAGAGCTAGAAAGTTGAAATTAAGTATGTATAATCTTGAGATGCCAGCGCACAATGGTGGTACCATTATCCGGCCACTCCCACTCTTACGCCCACCAAGCCCGAAAGACGGTTTTCGCATTCTGTAGAAAAGCTGATATCTCGGTAACTATAGGTGATAGAAATTTCGGATTTAGCATGTAGTTTCTAATGACGTCCCAAATCCCCCAAGGCGAACTTTTGTTTCCCATCTAGCCACACCTACTCTAACCCACACAAAACCCGGTAAACCGAAAATGCAAAAATCTAGGGAGCTATAAAAGCTAGAAAGTTGTACTTAATAATAGGTATTTTAGAGAGTGGATTCTCTCTCCGGCCACGCCCACTCTAACGCCCACAAGCGGAAAACTTTGTTGTACATAATATTATAATCAATATCTTCGTTTGAGCTTATATAACATATTTTTGTCAATATCTTTTCGCATTACCAAAGAATTTTCAAATCAGATCATTATTTTTTTGAAGAAATTCAGGTTATAAGGCCTCACATGGGCAGTGACGTCACTGTCAGTTACTCATCATGACTTCTCTGACAATAGGTGGCGCTTTGTGAATTTCCACTAGCAAAATGAATATTTTAAAATTATATTACACAAAAAAATATATTTAAACGGTAAGCAATCATTTAATCAGGAACCTCACACTTTTTGGAAACTGATTATGTGGACCGATGAGAGTTCTGTTGAGTAACACAAATTTGCTCTCTATTAATCAAAAATATAGGAAAGAAAAAAAAGACCCGTATCTGAACGCATATCACACGGTGGCGGCAGTGTTATGTTTTGGGGGATGTGTTAGTTTTAACGGTATCTGTGATTTGGTACCAACCAATGGTACAATAAATCAAGGACAAGGGCAATATTTTCATGTCCTGAATAACCAGCATTCCCATCGGGTGACACTCTTATTGGGTAAGACTTTATCCTGAAACAGGATAATGCTCCATGACTTAAAGCAAATACCATTATGAAGTTTTTGAGGGACTATGAGGTAAAATCGTTAAATTGGCCACCCAAAAGTCACGATATCAACATAATCGACAATGTGTGGGTATACATTAAACGTAAGAGGAGTCCCAGTTTAACAAGAACGCGAAAAGAGACTGTGGCTAAAGTCGAAGACTTTGAACGGAAATTTCCATTGAAACTCTGCAAAAATGTAATGAAATGAATGCACTTAACAGTTTTGTTACTAAAATTCCTTTTCTAGTTTGTTCTGTTTTGTCAAAATAATTTTGTATTACCTTGTTGTTTTACTTATTATTGTATTCTATCTATGTATGTATTTTTGTCAAAATACTTTTCTCCACGGTTGAATGTATTTTTGTATGTTATTCCTTTTGCATTAATATATACATATACATATGTATATTCATGTAAAAACGGTAGTCTGTAAAAAAAATAAATACTTACATACATACATATGTATGTACGTCTAATTGGCTAGCACGGATTTGCTGAGCTATTGCGATATCAAAATTTTAGTTTTAAAATGATTATACATCTGGATGTATATGTCTATGATACATACATATGTACATACACACATTCACGTTTAGTATAATATCTTAGGTGCCCCACTACTGTTTTGTTAACACAATGCTTACTCCCTTTAATAACGATGAGCATGCTCGAACAATGACCACTTTTCAATACAGTTTAGGGGTGTGTTTTAAGTGTATTATACTTTTCATTGTTCCTTAATGCACTTTTATCTTTTAAAAATAGAGACTGTTGTGAATACATATATATATATGTACATATGAACATACATATATTTTTTGGTTTTATTTAGGGGTAATCAACGTTTTTAAGGGGGTATTCATTGAATAAAATTCTTGCACAGTACCTAAGGAGGGTGACAACACTCTTCAAATGTTTTTATTGTTATAACACGTCTCATCTTGAACCTTGTGTACAGACCGCAAAAGTAATTGCTTAACCTAATGACAGTTTAATATTAAGTGATCGGCATTGGTTAAACCCTTAAGATTATACAATTGTTTTACGACCAGTAGCCAACAAATACGTACAAACTGTTTACAAAGGAATTTAACTAAATTTTCATACAGCGTTCAAAATAGAACATTTTAGAACTGCTGAGTGCAAAAACATAAGCATAGGATGCAATTACTTTGTGTTCAAAAAAGAACATTTTAGGACTGATATGAGTGCAAAAACATTAGCATTGGATGCAATAGGAGGGAATAAACAATTAAAACTTAACCTTACACAAGTTTGACACTGCCAAGAAAGGTTTTATACGCTCACATTTTTCGATTGTTTTTTTCTTTTGAGAAAAACGGTACATTACCGTTAGCGATGCTTTTCCATTCGGGGAAATTTTTTCCCAAAAATATTTTATTCAAAAAAATGTCTTGTAAGAAATAAGTTTCTTAATTTTTTTTTCAAATTTGTTAAAAAACTTGTGAAAATGTTTTCTGTTTTAAGGTTGTGCGAAAAAAATGAAATGTTAAAGTAATCAGTGGATATTGCCTTAAATTGAAGATTGACAAACGAGCGTGCTTATCATGAGAACGTTTAGCATATGTAACGTAAATATTGATGGGACCCCTTACACGGGAGCTCAAAGAAGGGAGCGGTTCCCTCGTTATACCCGTTACCCGTTACATATATTAGATATGTATATTAGATTTCAAAAGTATGTAACAGGTAGAGGAATACGTTTCCGACCCTAAAACGTATATATATTCTTTATCAGGATCAATATCGAAGTCGGTTAAGCCATGTCCGTCTGTCCGACCGTCCGTACGTCTGAACGCTGAGATCTTAAGAACTATGTATAAGAGATACTAAGTTGAGAATAAGCAGTAATATTCTTGAGGTCCATACGCGGCGCAATTTTATTTCAGCATCCTGCCGCGCCCACTCTAATCCCGAAAAACTATAACAGTCTCGAGAACTATTAGCTAGAATGTTGGGATTAATGCGTTATATTTTTTCACAATGTGGCCACGCCTACTCTTACGCCCACAAAATACAGAAGACCGAAAATTCTTCAATCTCGGTAACTATAGGAGCTAGGGAGTTTGGATTAGACATACATATTCTTGAGATGGAATCGCACCCAAAGTGTTTTTTCATGTAGCCACGCCCTCTATAGTGGCGGCCACATTATTAAAATATATTTCTTGGTTGGAATTCTTTTAATATTTCTAGTTATCTATCTATTTTAAAATTAATGGGTATCTTACAGTCGCGGCACTCGACTATAGCGTTTCTTCTTGTTTCTTACTATATTATATTCTCTCTTCTTTTATTATTTTATTTTTTTGGATCTTTATGAATATTTGCGTTAGTTACATACAGCAAGTTGTCGCCCTATATAGAGTGACATATATACATAGTTAAAAAGGACTGGTCCCAAGACACTCCCTTGGGGAACGCCTGCGTTTATAAGACGTAGAGTTGACGTACTATTTCTCTGCTGCACGTAGAAGTATCTCTTAGACAAATAGGACAGCAGTGCAGTATTTTTTGTTCCCAAGTGCGAATACAATTTCAACGTTAACACTATGACATCGAACAGTGGTCCCGTGGCCTCTTCAGAATCCGAATTGATAACGTTCAAAATTGATAACGTTCAAAATTGGCCTTATCCACATTAGTACTATTTTTCAAATACTTTCGAGAATACGTCAATATACTAATGGGATGGTAAGGTGATAGCTTAGTTTCTTCCGTATTGTTTTGCTTAGTGAGTTCTGCACATTTTAATTGACTTGAGAAGTGGTCTAGCCTGAGAATAGCGTTATATATTAGTGTGAGAATTGCATGTTGGTGGTTTTAGGAATGATAGGCCTGCTTATTCGACAAGGTTGACCCAGTAATGTTCTCAACTTCAGTATGCAGAGATGGTTTTATAGGGCTGGTCTTGCAATTATCGGATTTGAGTTAAGATTCAAACTTTTCATTAAGCGTATGTGTGAACCAGAGAAGGCTACGAAGTCAATCAAGTCTGGGGTGTTCGGCTATCTGTAGGCCAGAATGTAGGCTTACCAGTTGAGAGAGTTGTTATATTATTTTTTCATGCGCATTCATATATTCGGATCCTTTTGAGTTAGTAAGTCTAGAGCCCATGGGTGTTGAAGTCGCCTCTCAATTCTTCAGAAAAGTTATTAAAAATGAGTTCTTTTATGGTAAGTCTTGCTGGAGATATATTTCTGTAATAGAGAAATCTGCATGCGTACATATAATCTCAATCATGGCTCTACTCTCTTTTTTACACACCTGTGAGTTTTGAAACAATGTGTCCGAATTCATGACGACGGTGACACCTAACAATGTCTTCTGCTTTATGAGGCTCATTTTTTGGGAATTCCTATATTGTTTTGTTGTTATTGTTGCGCCCAATGTCAAGAAATAACAGATTTAATTAATTTTTGAATACACGGCTTTTAATGTTATTTGTGGCTCTATAAGAATGCCCTTTGGACTCCACGTCTCTTTTAATTAATTAACATTCGTTGAGAAGTGCAATTTCTTTATTACGACCAGTAGCCAACAAATACGTACAAGCTGTTTACAAAGGAATTTAACTAAATTTTCATACAGCGTTCAAAAAAGAACATTTTAGAACTGCTGAGTGCAAAAACATAAGCATAGGATGCAATTACTTTGTGTTCAAAAAAGAACATTTTAGGACTGATATGAGTGCAAAAACATTAGCATTGGTTGCAATAGGAGGGAATAAACAATTAAAACTTAACCTTACACAAGTTTGACACTGCCAAGAAAGGTTTTATACGCTCACATTTTTCGATTGTTTTTTTCTTTTGAGAAAAACGGTACATTACCGTTAGCGATGCTTTTCCATTCGGGGAAATTTTTTCCCAAAAATATTTTATTCAAAAAAATGTCTTGTAAGAAATAAGTTTCTTAATTTTTTTTTTCAAATTTATTAAAAAACTTGTGAAAATGTTTTCTGTTTTAAGGTTGTGCGAAAAAAATGAAATGTTAAAGTAATCAGTGGATATTGCCTTAAATTGAAGATTGACAAACGAGCGTGCTTATCATGAGAACGTTTAGCATATGTAACGGAAATATTGATGGGACCCCTTACACGGGAGCTCAAAGAAGGGAGCGGTTCCCTCGTTATACCCGTTACCCGTTACATATATTAGATATGTATATTAGATTTCAAAAGTATGTAACAGGTAGAGGAATACGTTTCCGACCCTATAACGTATATATATTCTTTATCAGGATCAATATCGAAGTCGGTTAAGCCATGTCCGTCTGTCCGACCGTCCGTACGTCTGAACGCTGAGATCTTAAGAACTATGTATAAGAGATACTAAGTTGAGAATAAGCAGTCATATTCTTTTGGGTCCATACGCAGCGCAAGTTTATTTCAGCATCCTGCCGCGTCCACTCTAATCCCGAAAAACTATAACAGTCTCAAGAACTATTAGCTAGAATGTTGGGATTAATGCGTAATATTTTTTCACAATGTGGCCACGCCTACTCTTACGCCCACAAAATACAGAAGACCGAAAATTCTTCAATCTCGGTAACTATAAGAGCTAGGGAGTTTGGAGCCCATGGGTGTTGAAGTCGCCTCTCAATTCTTCAGAAAAGTTATTAAAAATTAGTTCTTTTATGGTAAGTCTTGCTGGAGATATATTTCTGTATTTGAGAAATCTGCATGCGTACATATAATCTCAATCGTGGCTGCTATAAAGCATTTTCTCTAGTACTCTCTTTTTTACACACATGTGAGTTTTGAAACAATGTGTTCGAATTCATGATGACGGTGACACCTAACAATGTCTTCTGCTTTATGAGGCTCATTTTTTGGGAATTCCTATAGTGTTTTGTTGTTATTGTTGCGCCCAATGTCAAGAAATAACAGATTTAATTAATTTTTGAATACACGGCTTTTAATGTTATTTGTGGCTCTATAAGAATGCCCTTTGGACTCCACGTCTCTTTTAATTAATTAACATTCGTTGAGAAGTGCAATTTCTTTATTACGACGGAACTAGAGGGATAGCATCTGGCAACGCCTACTCTAACGCCCAAGAAATCGGGAAAAACAGCTAAAGGGGGTTTTATAATCTGGCCTCGCCCATTTTTAATCATGGAAATTAATATTAAAATTTATGATTCGCTTTTATCTTTAATAACATTTGTTTATCTATACTAATACAAATACCAAAGAAAAACAAGAAGAAACGCTATAGTCAAGTGCCACAACTATAAGATACACGTTACTGTATCATACAGTTTTAAAATATTCATTTGGTAGCGTAAATTCACAAAGCGTCACCTTTTGTCAGAAAAACCATGTTGAGTAAGTGATTGTGACTTCACTGTCAATGTGAGGCTTATAGCATAGATTTCTTTATTAATATCGTAATCAAAAATAATTCGCATTGGGGCCAGAGTTTTTACAAAAAGCGAAAATCATCGTTTGATCTTGGTGGGCGTAAGAGTGGGCGTGGCCGGATAGTGGTTTTACCTTAAATTGCGCTGGCATCTCAAGACTATACACTTTACTAGTTTTTGAGATTTCAGCGATTTCAGTTTTTGTCTGTCTGTTATATTTTCTTCAACCAATCTAATATACCCTTTTACTTTACAAGTTACGGGTATATATACCCCTTCACATGGGCAGAGACTTCATACAGTTGTAAAACTGTAAATTAATTAGCTTGCAGATTTGGCTGCACACGACGTTAGTGAAAGAGACCACTTAAAATCAATACGATTACGATTTCTTTACTGAAGAATTTCTGTTAAAAGACCTTATATGAGTGGGATTGTTTAGTCTGAAAAATTAAATTTTAAATTTATGATATATTTCAATATGAGGCAAAATTTTATGTCTTCGACTTCTTATGGAATTGGAGCATAACTCGGTGATTGTAACTCTGAGTAAAGTATTGATTATAAGCTTGTAGTGAATATTGTTTTGAAATGGACAACCTTATGCTTATGCTTACCTGAAGGTGATCCAAAATAAATAAGCACTAATATTGCTGAAACTTAAAAATATTTTGTGAACGTATTTGGTAGAGTAGGCTAAAAACTGAAAAACTAAAACTAAAACTAAATTTATTTTTGTTTCTTTTTAAGGTTAAGATTTGGTTTCAGAATCACAGATATAAATGTAAAAGGCAAGCGAAAGAAAAGGCCATGGCTGAACAAAATCAACATAATCAGGTAAGCTTTTTATATTCACATAAACAATTTTTTATTTTATATTTTTATATTTTATATTTCAAACATATTAGAAAATTTCGTTATTTGATTGAAGTAACGAGAATTTCTTTCGGCTTTAGTCGTGTGGCAAGACCAGTTATTTTGTTAACAGAAGTCACCATATTAAACTAAGTACAGTTTTACGTTATAATCTGACGTTAACGTCAGAGCCTATGTAAGGCCTTTAAACCCAAATAGAACTGCACGATCATGTCTAAATCAACTTATCTATTGTTTCTAATCAAGACTACATATACAATTTTTAGAATTAGAAGCCCTTCCTGTCCTCCTGTCCTTGTAACGTAACGGGTAAAAACATTTCTCTTTGTCTTATATCGCCCACGGTTATACCGAGCTGACGAAATCGGATACCGCACCATTAAACAGTGCACTGCTGTGGTTGCTTTTAATGGCCAAAATTCAAAAAACCTCTATAGAAATATGAACTCAAAATGTAAGCAAATCACATCCGAATTGTCAAAATTTAGTACTGAAAAACCAGTTTTGGCCGGAATTCTAACGGAACTTTCTTAAAAAAGAATGGAATGCGTAAACACTTGTTCAATTACACAGCACAGCGTCGTTAAATTGGTTTTTCATCAAATCAAAACTGCATTTGAAAGTGGTCGAGCGTACGCAAAAGATGTCCGATTTCAATTATTTAAAATGAATTTATACGTAAACACATTTTCTTCCGAAATTAATTTGATTTATTTATTATTATACCCGTTACTCGTAGAGTAAAAGGGTGTATTAGATTCGTTAAAAAGTATGTAACATGTAGAAGGAAGCGTTTCGAACCCTATAAAGTATATATATTCTTGATCAGGATCAATAGCGAAGATGATTGAGCCATGTCCGTCCGTCTGTCCGTATGAACGCCGAGATCTCAGGAACTATAAGAGATAGGAAGTTGAGATTAAGCAAGAATATTCTTGAGGTCCATACGCAGCGCAAGTTTATCAGCATTCTGCCACGCCCATTTTAATGCCCACAAATCTCGAAAAACTAAAATCGCTGATATGTTAGGAACTATTAGAACTAGAAAGTTGAAATTCAGTACGTATAATCTTGGGATGCCAGCGCATGTTATAGTGATATCATTATCCGGCCATACCCACCCATACGCCCACCAAGCTCAAAAGACGGTTTTCGCATTTTCTAGAAAAGCTGATATCTCGGTAACTATAAAAGATAGAAAGTTCGGGTTAAGCATGTAGGTTTTTATGATGCCCCAAATGCAAATTGTTTTTTCCCATCCCACCGTAACACCCACAAAACGCGGAAAACCAAAAATGCAAAATCTCGGGACTCATAAGAGCTAAAAAGTCAGGCTTAAGAACACGTATTTTAGAGATGCTACTTCAACTGTTCACAAGATTTCATCCAGCCACGCCCACTTTAACTCCCACAAACCGCGGAAAGCTGTGGCGTATATAATACTATTATGAATGCCTTCGTTTGGCCTTGTATAACTTATTTCTGTTAATATCTATAACATCGGAACATTATTTCGCTATTTATGATGAAATTTAGGGTCACACATGGCCTAAAATGGTTTGTGACGTGCCTATCAGTAACTCAACATGGTTTTCCTGACAATAGGTGGCGCCTTGTGAATTTTTACTAGCAAAATATTTTAAAATTGTGTTAAACAGAAACGGATATCTTATAGTCCTGGCACTCGACTACAGCGTTTCCTCTTGTTTATCACTATATATGTTGCCTAATATATTAAATACTCGCTGGCATCACTGGCCTGAAATTCGCACTGATGTATTCTTTTTTTTTCGTTCCTCCGTTAGAGTTATTGAAAGATTTTGTCAATTATTTGACAGCCAAAAATAGGAGAGACATATTATAGTCGGTGTTCCGAGCCAACTCTAAAGCTAAGGGCAAGTGATTCTTATCTCTTGAGACCCCATATGAAGGCACCCAGAACATTATTTCAAATGTCATATCATATACCCTGCCTAACCATTTTGAGCTGTTTCGGAAGTAGCCGAAGTAAAGCCTAAGTTCACTTTTGTTTTGGCGATCATTACATTCAAATTGAGTACTGTATTGCGATACGTCAGTGAGGGTTTTAGCGGTCCGCAAATGACTTCTTTAAATGCACTTAGCATAAGCTTAACCAGCAGCGTGCGGTATCCATCTGCCCAGGAGAAAATTGGTAGTTGGATGACAAGCTTCCTGGTTACCCGGAAATGCTATCCTACAAAGACTACGGTGATAATTAAGTTTTTTAAGGAAAAGTAGCATTCTTTGTATGTTGTCTGGGTCAGGGTTGCTAAGGATGCTTAGGGCGTTAGTGTTTCTAAATATGGTTTGTTTAGTTTGTAGGAGTGATGGGCACGAGTTTAGAATATGATTTATTGAAATGTCGCCTTGGCAAAACGTACAAATTGGTGTTGAATTTGTTTCTAAATAGTGTTGGTGAGTTATCTGTGTGTGTCCTAGTCGAAGTCATATTTATTTTTATTTATTTGATATGTATGATGCAGTCAGTATCCATATCATCTAGTTTGTCGTAATCGTGGTGGTGATGAAGTTGAACAGTTTGGCTTGATGGTAAAGATGTTTTGGCTAATCCGGTGGTTGTTGCCTTCAGTAAGGTGATAAATGATCCTGATGTGAGTATGGTGTGCAAATTTTTATGTTTGGTTGTGTTGTGTCTGTGTGTATTTATATGAGTATTCGGTCATTGAGGGTTTGTTGTTATCTGAGTTGTGGGGTTTGCAAGTGTTTTGGCATAGGTGTTCCTCAATTTAAATCCGTGTATTTCGAAATAAATACGTTGGGCCGTTTTGTGATCAACTTTTTTTTTTGATTAAATAGCTGTTAATTTTTGGTTTTTTATGAAAGTTGGGCATTTACGGTCGATTGGGCTGTGCTGATGGTTATGTTCTGGGTTGTTTTTGCAGTTTATTCATTTTTTCGCTTTTGTATGTTTTTCCGTCGTTTGTGTTTTTTATTTCTGAGCAATTAGTGCAAGATTCTGAGCTTTTGGATATTGGTGCTGGGTGACCATAGCGAAGGCATTTTCTGCATCGGAGTGCAAGTGGGATATACTCAATTGCTTGCAATTAATGTGCAAATAATGTGCAAAATTTTGCTGATAAAATTTTCGGTTTGCGCGAAGCTAGGCTTAACACTGTTTTGGCACGACTTATCTCTTCGGAGGTTGAAGTTGTACTGTTCTCTGCATTATATTTTATATAACTTATTTTGAACATGGTTCATTTACTTAAACTATTAAAGTTGTTTGGTAACACCTAGAAGCACTCTAAACCGGGAATAAATAGGGTTTCTATTTATACTTCTGGCCTAATAATGACAATTCGAATATTTATCAACAAAAATGGATTTATTGGTTTTGAAAGTATTCTCCATAAAGATTTATACTCTTTTGGAAGCGCTCAAACCAATTGTCGAAGTACTTTTTCCATTCCGATTGAGGAACCTCTAAAATATGGTTTTTGAACGCTACAACAGCACCTTCTGACGACGAAACTTGTTGCCCACGCATTTGTCCTTTGATGTGCGAAAATAAGAAGAAGTCATTGGGTGCCAAGTCAGGGCTGTACGGCGGATGACCCATTTATTCCACGTTTTGGCTGGTCAAATAGCCACGGGTTTGAGCTGATGTTTGAGGGGTCGCGTTATTATGGTGCAGAAAGATCCGTATTTTCTTGTTCGTTTTTCGAATTTCTCCGAAAACAGGCGACCATTTGCTTCGAAGTTATTATTCCACGAACAACGTTCGTTGGATTTGACTTTTAGAAAGACCCACACAGTCGATTGCTGTTTTGTTTCGGGCTCATAAGCATACATCGACGATTGTCACCTGTGCCGATCTAATAAATGAATTTTGGTGCACCGCAAATGTATTTTTTCAAAATTTCTTTGCACCAATCCACACGATCCTTTTTTTTCCTATCTAGCCACGCATACTCTAACGCCCACAAAACGCCGAAAACCAAATATAGGAAAAACTAGGGAACTATAAAAGCTAGAAATTTAGGCTTAGGAATACGTATTTTAGAGATGCACTGCAGCTCGAGGTAAGTTTTCATCAGACCACGCCCGCTCTAACGTTTACAAACCGCGGAAAACTGTGGCGTTCATAATATTACAGTGGATGTCTTCGTTTGACATTGTATAAAATATTTTTGGCAATATCTATCTATTTACCAACGATTTTTCAAAACGGAACTTTATTTCGGTATTTAAGATGAATTGAATGTTATAAGGCTTCAAATGGGCACGTCACTATCAGTTACTTAACATGCTTTCTTTGACAATAGGTGGCGGTAACAGAAATCTTATATTCGCGGCACTCGACTGTACCGTTTCTTCTTGGTTTAAACTTTGAACTGGTCACTTGCACTTGCCAGCTTAAAGTATGTTTAATACTAATTTTACACACTAAATTACTCATTTTACAAATTTTAATTTTGTATTGCAATGTACATCTTTTTATAAAAAGAGTTCTACAAAAACTCATCCAAACTTAAAATTTTATTTTAATTTGAATTCACCTTTAAACTAAATTGGTTTTGTTTTTGGCTTAGGTATTAACCTAGCATGGTTAAACTCGATCATTTTCCTACATGCTTAAGCATGACTTTGAGTAAAATATGTCTTATAAATTATCAAAATTGTTGAGGAGCCACATAACTAATTATAATTTGGTATATTTATTAGTATGTAAGGAATTTCTTCTTGACATGGTTTGGTCTCACGAATTTTGGATCTCTCTCTTTCTCTCCTCCTGACCACGAGCAGTCGACATGAATAAAGCGTAAATTCTTACGTAATTGAGCATCTTTCTATCAAACCAATGCGGAAAATGGTCTTACAAACCATTTAGCGTAATCTATTCACCATCAATCAACCAAATTCGGAAAATTGTCTTACAAACCATTTAGCGTGATCTAATCACCATCATTGTTTGTTCT